CTAAATTGAGCTCAACTCAACTTTAGACCATCCCCACACTTGGCATGATTGCGCTGCAATCAATCTATACCAAGGATGAGGTCAAAAGTTTTATTTACCACCAAATGCAATGACTGCAACTCAAATTTGAGATTGCCCATACACATAACTAGGTCCACCTCATCCCACGCACATGCATGTGTACAGCCATTTCCATAAAAAATGAAAATTGGCTCTGCCACATGACACAAATGTAGATGGCAATGTGTGGTAACAAGTCGAGCAATAGAAGATAAACTCGAATCTATATCAACCAACATAGAAAGAATAATAGGAGACCTCTTATAAAAACGAGTTTAGAAAGTAAATATTGGATGAGCTTGTGCTAAGTGAACCCCTGATGATACTCCCAAATGAAAAATAGAGGGGTCACTGACTTATTCACATAAGGTCCTTCCACTACTCATGCGACTCCTCATTTCCCAGATGTATCTGAATGTCCAAAAATTCCACTACAGCAGCACTAATAGGACATTGTTAACACCAAGGTCTCCACCCAGAAAATGGAGGTTGCCATCCAAAAAACGTTGACAATGCCAATAAATGTGACCAACTTCATCACACACCCAATAGTAGACATCACGGCCACAACTATGTCCATGCCCTTGTCCTTAAACTCAAGCAATAGCAACATCAACCACCATTGAAATAGGACCATCTCCCACAGGAAGTGGAGCTAAAACATGTGTAATGAGAAGTGAAAGAGGTGATATTTTAGAACATTGTGTCAGGTGAAGAGCATCATCAAGGGTGGGTGGAGCAAGTGCATGCATAAGTCCTACAAGATCTTGACAAAATGCTAGCCACAACATTCCTAGTTTGATCTGCTTTAACATATTTAGCTCCGCACGAAGTAAGAGGCTTCAGAAATAAATGCCAAATTCTATCACCGACTTAGATGGCCCTTAATGAAGATGATGTAATTGTTGGAAAGCATCATTACAATCGTCGACATATCTAAATGCATGTTTAAAGATATCCGAAAGAATACTTCAATTACCACAAATGACTGCATTCAAACACATAGGAAACTTATATAAACATTGAGTATCATCCTAAAAATGATGTGTGGCAATCACCATGAAGTGATCAAACCAATAGTACACATCATCCCTAGGATTCCCACAAAGAGCTCCGGCTGAACGCGAGGATTGGCAGCAAGAGTAAGAGGAGCTTTACCATGCACCATAAATGCTACTATCAATTAAGTTTGGTTGTTCAATTACAATCGCATAACATCAAACAATTGCACTAATTGCTACTCCAAAGTTAAAGGAGTAGGAGATTGTTGCTCTACCATGCAGATGAATGAAAAGAAAAGAGCAAAAGAAAAGAAATGAAAAAAGCTAGAAGGAAAGAGAGATCTAGACGATGCAAAAGTTAAATCTAAACCAAAATCTCAAATTCAAGCACTCTTTAAGGACAATCAAAGTTGCCCCTCACCTCCACCAATATGAGTGTATGGATATGGAAAGAGAATACATATCAATTAGCCCAAAAACTTTAACTTATATACAGAAGCAAGTGATCTGGATTGAAACAAATCTGATGGCTAACAAAATCCCATCACACTAATATTAGTATACAACATTGTAGCTATACACTTGGATCTCATAAATCTATTTTACTTCTTTCTTTGTTTTTTATTAATATAAAGTATATCAAGAAGTTCCCATTCAATACCTCAATTTTGATGATAGTGCTTATCCTACTACTCCATAGATTACTAATGAATCTCATCTTTACATAACATTGTAAAAGGAAAAGAAGAGTTAGTGGAATAACATAATATAAATTAGTATTGCATACTTGCTCACATAAAACCTTTTCTATGTACTTGATTGTGTAAAACCCTTACTAGATTTGTGATGTTGTCATATTATTTAGGATGATGTCTTATATGGCAGTTTGAGGTGTTATGCTCCCACCCATAACAAAAATATTATACACATAATCACATTTCAATTGCTTATATAGCAATCTAAAAATGATTGTATGCATAATATTTTTGCATGCAACTCAAAACAAAAAAAACAAATCTTCATATGTGAATGCTCCTATCAGTCACATTGCCATAACATTTAAGTTATTTTACAATTTCAACTGTTTAATTTAAAAAATGGAATAGATAATAGCTCTGAACATTTTACAAAGAACAAAATGATCCCACTCATAAACTTGCTACTCTCCTTGAGGAGCTCAACTCGAAAATTTTGCTTCTTCTTGAGGACTCAAAAACCTTTGAACCTCTGATGGCTAATATTGAATAATCTACTTCGAACATCTACCGGCTGTCGCCGGTGGCTCGTGGATAAATGTGAACTTTTCTTTTACTGCGGCGTCGACCGCGCCTCGCCGCGTCCGGCACGAAATTTTCCCAACAGGAAAACTACAAATCCAAGCAAGAGCAGCCACGTCGCAAGCTTTTTACCAGCGGTAACTTTGCGCCCTGGACACGTGCCGCAAAACAATAAGGAGGAATCTCCATAGATCAGAGATTTACCCCGTGGTAGATGTAGATTTTACCACACCCCCTGTATCATGCAAGTTTGAGGGCGAAGAACATTGGCGGAGGGGAGGAGGCCGCTCGAAATTTTGGGGGAGAGGCGCTCGCGGCTGCGTCGGCGATTTGTCCTCGCTCATCCGTGCCCTGGTGAGCGCCAATCCCTGCCTGTCGAATGCGTCCATGCTTGGAATCTCTCTGGGAATGGGGGTTTTAGTGTCAGATCGATTGCCGTGCGCAGCGATTTCTTCGTCTTGTCATGGCATTGGCAGCTGGGAACCTAGCTCGCGGCGCCGGATTTCTCCGTGGATCGGGGTCGGGGCTCTTGAGATTTCGCCTGTGGTTTCGTCTCCGTGAAGATTAATGTGTGTGTGCGTGTGTGAGTGAGAGAAGCAAGCTTTCTTTCCTCTTCTTTCTTCTTTGATCTTCCTGCCTGGATGGTCTCGTTTTGCTGCGCTCTCTCTAGGTATTCTATATTTCTTATCAGTCCCGAATTGATTGAGTCTCTCTTTCTCTCTCTTGTTGGTTTGTTTCAAAGATCTCCAGATTGGTGCCAAGCCAAGAAGATGAAGATCCCATCATTTCAGCGAGCGTCCTCCAACAATCGAATTCTCCCTCTCTGCGACGAGGACGACGACTACGAAGAAGCACAGCGCAAAGAGACAACGCCAGCATTACCGCCACCATCGCCACCGTCACTACGACCAGGGGGAGATCCCAGCTATGGAGCTACTGGGTTCCAGGACCCATCTTCGCCCATGGATCCCAAGCTGTGGAGCAAGCTCCCGGAGGACTGTGTGGACAGGATCCTGGCGCGGCTCCCACTGCCCAGTATGTTCCGGCTACGCTCGGTGTGCAAGCGCTGGAACTCGTTCGTCCATTCCGAGGCCTTCTTCTCGCTCCAGTCGGAGATCTCCGCCAGCCGCTCCAGCTTCCTCCTGTGCACCCAGGGCCGCGTCTCGTGCGTCTACAACTTCTCCCTCGATGGCTGGCACTTCGTTCCGGTCCCGAGGATCATCCTCCCCATCGACATCCCGCCGGTGACCGTCGTCTCGGCCTCTGGAGGCCTGCTGTGCTACGCCAACCAGGTGGCCGAGTGCTCCACGCTCTTCGTCTGCAACCCCTTCACCAAAGTTCTCCGAGAGATGCCACCCATGCGGCGCGTCCG